ATCCACAGTTGAGTTTGTATACCCTCGATTTTTCGAATTCAGAAGTTTTGTCTTTATTATTTTTGATAAAACTTCCCAACGTGTTATTTGTTCTATATGCTACTTTTAAGTCCTGTTTATGTAGAAATGAAGCTAATTTTTCAGTTGATGATTCGAAATAGTTTGAAGTTCAATAATTTTGATTATTATTCTTGATGGTGGGATAATAGTATATTATTCGACGAGCGTGTAATGATGGCCATTACTCATGAGAATGAAGTTTGCGACGTGAGCCGCAGGCGAACGTCGTAATCATTCGAATGAGTAATAGCCATTACACGCAAGTAGAATACTATACTTTTTCTATGACTGAGTGATGAACTGGTTGAGTTCATCAGCAGTGAATATCTTCGCTTTCTTTGACATATATCCATCAGATTTCCTATTTAGAAATGCTCGTAATTTCAAGTATTTGTCAATATTCACATAATTTTCTATTGAAATTGTGCTTCTTAGTATATGCATGGAATACTGTGACCACAAGGAGGATGCTTTGTGTTTAGCTGCTAATTCGCCAAAATAGGCTAGCAGTACATTATCCTAAAACGAATTTGCAAGTTTTGCTTTTCGCCAAACCACTTCATACCTTTTTTTAGATTCCTCGGGCAAAAGGCTGATTGTACTTGAATTGGCAGCTTTCGAAACTTTTGATGGTGGAGAGCAGTTGAATTCATTTTCGCTTTCTGAATCCATATTTGTACAAAAGGTCAGTTCTAAATCACGCCAGATAGCTATTGTCAAATTATGACATTTCATGACGAGTCTGATTCAAACGTTTCACTGCATGCCCCATATTATCATTTCAACTGGTGTCAACTGTTTTGTAGGTAATGAATCTGCTTTGTTGCTGATTGGCCATAGCCTGTGTTGTGTAAAGGCTCTTACACACGGGGCGTGGCTTGTTTTGTGTAATGCATCCAGTTACCCAACAAAAATGTTACATTGAAAGGGTCTAGTTTTCAACAGTCATAGAAAAACTTCTTGAATAGCTTCATGTTGAAGTTTTTTAGAAAGAATACTGTCTATCAAATTAACGTTGTATTCGTTGTTGACTGCAATCTGTTTCATGATATTGAGTTCTTTATTGAAATTTACCTCTGAAAGAGGGACATTCACTAGCTTATGTATCATAGTATTATATGCTGCAATTTTATGTTGATATAAGGGCACAGTTTAAGGAATGGGTATTCCTTAAACTGTGATAAGGGTGTGTTGAATTATTATGAATAGTGATATCAGTGTGGGAAGGTTTATGGAAAATTGAAAAGTCATGTTTTTTTATTGATTTTACTCATTGTCAAATTGTCAAATCAACCCTTTCAAGTTAATCCGGTACCCCGTATTTTAATGTAGATATATTGTGCCTAATGTATATATTGTGCCTAATTTCCACAGGTAACTGATCCTTCAGGTTGGAAAGTAGGATATATTTCAAGCTAGTCAAGGATAGTTTAGTTCATTGTAGCAGAAGAATTCTATATCATGAAGAATGGCTGTAAGAATAAGTGGACATCATGGTTACTGATGAGGTTTCAGAAATCCGAAATGGTTTCATTGCAATAAAGTTATATAACCTGTATGTGAGAGATAATATTTCCCATATCACTGATATGAATGATTATTTTTGGAAATTTTCGAGCTCATCAAGATCAGAGTTCATCATGCCAGTATACTTCTCCTATAAATTCCAATTTTCATTTCAATGCTGAATATATTGGTAAGTCATATTTCTATATTATTATTCATCATATTATTCATCCGATTTGAAGATGAATGTCAATTCTCAATTTCGGAGGATTTTATTCATTATTTTTCATGTTCTCCTCATGAATGTTCATCAGATATAATTCAATGTTCGACGTGGCAAATAGCCAGGAGAGTAGTTGTTTTCTGTTGAATATTCAGAAAGATGTGTGCATGTACATATTATTATTTTGTCTGATGGAGAATGCAAATTCTCAATTTCAGGTGTTTTTATATTTTATTTTCAAACTCTTATCGTGTGTGTTCAATAGATATAATTCAATGTTCGTCGTGGCATGTAGCCAGGAAAGTAGTTGTTTTCTTTTGAATCAACTGAAAAAGAGTAAATATTTTTATCACATAGAGAATGCGAATTCTCAATGTATTGCTTTATATAAATATATATCCATTTTTGTATGTTCATAATTTATCTGAGAATATTTCTTTTCAACACTTTCATACCCAATCAGGGGGTTCAAACTTGAACGATGGAAACTTGTGATTTTTTATAGACCTCTAATGGCAGATTCGTGATAGAGTCTCAATTCAGAATTTCTTTTCACGCCCTGTATGATGAATGTCAATTTATCATACACCCAAAAGCAATATCAAGTCTCTCTATACATTGCAATTTTCAATCCGATTTGAGAGATTTTTTTTATCGCTCGGAGCGCACGAAAGGATATCCCTATAATGTTAGGTATTGGATTTTTTTTGACTTCTGGAGATTATATGTTGTTGGAAATAGCCAGGAAAGTAATTGTTTCCTGTTGAATATTCAGAATGACATTATGTGCATATCTTAATATAAAGGAGAATGCAAATCCTGTACTTCAGGAGATTTTGTTCTCAAACTCATATCGTGTGTGTTCAATAGATATATAATTCAAAGTTCGACGTGGCAAATAGCCAGGAAAGTAGTTGTTTTCTGTTGAATATTCAGGATGATATTATGTGCGCATTTATATTTTTAACTGGAGAAGGAGAATGCAAATAATCAACTTCAGAAGAATTTATTCTCAAATTCTTATCGTGTGTGTTCAATAGATATAATTCAATGTTCGTCGTGGCATACAGCCAGGAAAGTATAGTTGCTTTTTGTTGAATATACCGAGCAAGAATTGATATTTTCATCACATAGAGAATGCGAATTCAGTATGATGCAAATGTATAGAATAAATTCATTATTTCAGAAATGGGCGACATTTGAAAAAATTCCAAAAACACGTGAGGTTTCATTTTTGAATCCTCATCTCTCGATATCCATATAAGAGATGTAACGTCACCGGTGTTGGAGTAATGACGTAATGAACGATTTTTTCAAATGAAAACAGGGGTCATGTGACACCTCGTTTGAAAGGTCTACTGATCATCTATTCAACAGTCAAAATTTTGCATAAGAAAATTGAAATTAAAATGGATTATCATTTGATTAACTGAATCTTGTAGAGGTCTGCTACTGAGAATTGAACAACGAAGGGTGGTCTATTTAAAAGAATAAATCAATTAATGAAGTTCTGAAGTCTAGTTTTTGTTTTTTTTTCGAAAGTCGTCTTGTTTTGAAATGAATTTATTCCATACATTTGCATCATACTGTATATACAGAGAAGTGCACAAAAAACGGCCAGGATTGTAACTTTTGAATTATTCCAGATAGGGTTTTGAAAATTGGTGGGTAGTATCCCAAATTGCTCATAAATTGATTGAATAATTTTTCCTCTATCACTTCCAGTTTCACCGGAACCGACCCCAACTTTTGATTTTTCAATGGGACAATCTGTATTGTATTTCATAATCGCTTAGGGATAATCATGACGAATTCAACGATACCAAGTTTGGTAGGGTTATTCCAAACAATTACAAAGATATTTGCGTTCGATGTTTCCATTTGCTCAATGGGTGTGACTTCGCAATATCAAAACTTCTTTCTCTGTCACACTCATTGAGCATATAGAAACTTATAACGCGAATATCTGCTTAATCGCTTCAAATAACCCTATCAAACCCGGTATCGATGAATTCGTTATGACAATCCCTTACCGATTATGGAATACAATAAACGGTGTTCCATTTAAAAATCAGAAGTTGGTGTAGTTTCCAGTAGAACCGAAAGTGATAGAACAAAAATGGTTTCGTCAATTAATGGGTGATCTTATATACTAACTGTCCACCAATTTTCAAAACCGTATCTCTAATAATTCAAAAGTTACAGTCCTGGCCGTTCTTTGTGCACTCCTCTGTATATCCATCTTTCATGTTTTTTTTTTATGTTCTGGTTCCCACGAGAAGGAATATCCTGTAATGTTCAGAGAACATCGTGAGAACCAAGGGAAATGAGGTAGGAATCGGAGTTCTTCTGAAATTTCTGGAGGTTGAATGCCTCGGGACACCTCCCTTCGCAATGTGTCCCAGAGCCTCGCTGTTCGTTTGATAAACGTGTCTTTGGAAAGAGATGTTCTGCAGGTCTCCAAAGTGACCACGAAAGAGTGCCAAGCCTCAACTCGAAGGGTTGATCTCGCTGGGACTGCCTTGGGAGGAACAATTGTTGAAATTTCAGAAGAGCATCGTCCATGAAAATATCTATAAAATAGAGCCAGATCGCCAACTTTACCACAATAACAAATAAAATCAATCATTGTTATGATACAAGAAACAAAATCAACAATGTACGACTTGAAAAACGATTGAATGTAAAATTTATAATAAAATGCCATCAAAATTGAAAAGTCTAAGTATCAGAACTTGAAAAAAAAAGGTTAAATGTTAGCTTATAGAAAATGCGAAAAAAGTTGATGATCTTTTTCATTCAACTGTTTTCCTTTTCTGCCAAAAACATCATATTTGGAGTCAAAATGGAGAATATATGAATTTCACGATTTTCAAGTTCAACTACCCACTTCTGCCACAGGGCACTTCAAGTGATCAGCTCTTTTTGGAAACTGAAATTCAGGCTTACTTTCCGAAACATGAATCCACGATTTGGTCAAAACATCAGTAGAATCGGACATGAGTTAAATGACTTGAAGGGCGTTCATTTTGGCCAAATTTTTTTCTGGACTGTTTTTTTTGCCAGTGAATTTATAATTTTTCGTGTGACACACTGTGTACGCGTAACGTATATCCAAAATTAGTTCTTCAGTAGATGGCGGCCGCTTTCTACCTCCGAGCAGTTCGCGAACAGGTGACCGATTCCTCGTTTCTTTGCTCTTTCAGTTTTCAGTCTGCCAGTTACTTCTTGCGATCCAAGCGGAGTTTGTGTGTGTCCGTCGCGGCTGAAGAAGTTGAGAACGAGAAAAAAGCGGCGTTCGCGGTCTGGAGATCATGGTGTAGACTGATTTGTTGTGAAGTGTATTGAAAGTTATCGAGCAAGGATTTTGGATTTTTTTTGGTAGCGAAAATGTTACAGCCGAGGAAACATATGACATTGGTGTTGTTGGCAGCTTTTCTCTTAGTGGATAATTTGAAAGGTCAGTGGATTTCAATATTTTATTGAATACATATAAAAATAACAGGTGAAATGAAAAGTATATTTGTGTATTTGATAAACCCGCTTATTTTTCATTGAGATGATTACAGCGAAATGCATATAAAGAGAACAAAAAAATCGAATTTTGTGTCTGTGTTTTTTTCGCGATTTGGAGAACATACCCTGAAACTGTTAGATTCTGTTCAAAAAAGGGCAATTCGTCTCGTGGGTTTGGAACACCGTAGAAAAGTTGGCGATCTGGCTCTATTCTATAGATATTTTCATAACCAATGCTCTTCTGAAATACCATCAATTGTTTCTCCCTTGGCAGTCCCCGCGAGATTAACCCGTCGAGTTGAGGCTTCGCACCCCTTCGTGGTCACTTTGGAGACCTGCAGAACATCTCTTTCCAAAGACTCGTTCATCCAACGAACAGCGAGGCTCTGGAACACATTGCCAAGGAAGGTGTTCCCCGAGGCATATAACCTCCAAAAGTTCGAGAAGAACACCAATTAATACCTTCTTTCCCTTGGTTCTTACGATGTTCTCTGAACATTACAGGATATCTCTTTTCGTGGGACCCAGAACATAAAAAAAAGACTGATTTGTTGTGAAGTGGATTGAAAGTTATCGAGCGGATTTTGGATTTTTTTTGAAGCAAAAATGTTTCAGCCGAGGAAACATATGACGTTGGTGTTGTTGGCAGCTTTTCTTTTAGTGGATGATTTAAAAGGTCAGTAAATTCCGATATTTTATTGAATACATAAAAATAACAGGTGAAATGAAAAGTTATTCAATCTGTATTTGATAAAAGCGCCTATTTTTTATTGAGATGAGTACAGCAAAATGAATATAAAGAGAACAAAAAAATCGAATTTTGTGTCTATGTTTTTTCGCGATTTGGAGAACATGGTGCTCCCAAACATACCCTGAAACTGTTAGATTCTGCCTAAAAAAGGGCAATTCGTCTCGTGGGTGATGCCTCGCTCACAAACTCACTCACTTCTCTGGAACACCGTAGAAAAGTTGGCGATCTGGCTCTATTTTATAGATATTTTCATAACCAATGCTCTTCTGGAATATCAACAATTGTTCCACCCTTGGCAGTCACCGTGAGATTGCACCAGTCGAGTTGAGGCTTCGCACCCCTTCGTGGTCATTTTGGAGACCTGCAGAACATCTCTTTCCAAAGACTCGTTCATCCAACAAACAGCGAGGCTCTGGAACACATTGCCAAGGGAGGTGTTCCCCGAAGCTTATAACCTCCAGAAATTCGAGAAGAACACCAATTCCTACCTTATTTCCCTCGGTTCCCACGATGTTCTCTGAACATTACAGGATATCCTTTTTCGTGGGAACCATAACATAAAAAAAGACTGATTTGTTGTGAAGTGTATTGAAAGTTATCGAGCAAGGATTTTGGATTTTTTTGGTAGCGAAAATGTTACAGCCAAGGAAACATATGACATTGGTGTTGTTGACAGCTTTTTCCTTTGTAGATAATTTAAAAGGTCAGTGGATTTTGATGATTTTCGGACATATTCTGTAGTCCATCACAGTTTTAATCTTCTCCTGAAGATGCTAACATAGTTAGCGAAACACGTGTCGAGGCGTTAAAAAATCGGTTTGGTTAGTGGTAAAACAGTGTAGTGTATTATCGTGCCAAAGGTTACCAGTCTTCGATATATCCATCCTCGTATCCATCACTAGGGTTTTCTTGAAGTTAATCTGCGAGAGTTTGAAACTTCACCTTCATTCATTGAATACATACAAATAACAGGTGGAATCAAAAGAATATTCAATCTGTATTTAATGAACCCGCCTATTTTTTTGAGATGAGTACAGGAAAATGCATATAAAGAGAACAAAAAATATAGTTTTTTCGCGGTCTAGAGATCATGGTGCAGAACGAGGGGTAAATCACGGCGAAAAAAATTGTACACCAAACTTCCAATGGGTCAAAACTTCCCAAACTTCCTCGAACTTCCTCGAACTTCCTCAAACTTCCTCGAACTTCCTCAAACTTCCTCGAACTTCCCCGAACTTCCTCAAACTTCCCCGAACTTCCCAAACTTCCTCGAACTTCCCAAACTTCCTCGAACTTCCTCAAACTTCCCCGAACTTCCCAAACTTCCTCGAACTTCCTAAACTTCCCGAAACGTTTCATCAAACGTCACAAACCAAGTACTTATAAGCAATTTATAGTATTGATAGATTCAAAATTTTTTCCTTTTCCTATTGTAGGTATATATATAGGGTGGTCCGGTTTGTTATACAAAAATTCAACAGTGTGGTGTTCTTGTTGAAATAATGAAATACTTTTATTGCATTCATTATACATAATCTTCATTTCATCTTATAGAGCTTAAAAAGTTTAGTAACTTGGGTGATTTTGTGGATTTATCTCAAACCGTTTCGAACTTTTCATCAAAAAACAATATTCAGACTCGTATTTTAAACACCCTATATCTCGAAAACGAAGCGTTTGAAAGTATATGTTTATATGATTTTTCTTATAATTTCAACCGAGTACCACACACTGTTGAATATTTTGTATTACAAACCAGATCACATTGTGTAGGTAGGTATTACCGGGTATTACCTACGTTTATGTATAGGTGGGTACCTAAACTTGAAAGTACTTTACTGGAAGGAATTTGAAACTGAATGTCATGAATATCTGCACTGTATTTCAATACAAAATGGAATTCCACTTTATTACAATTTTGATTAATCCACCGACAGAAATCAACTATCAAACTATAATTACATAATATGCAATGCAGGTTTTCTGTACCACGAATTTTTAGGTAGTTAGGTACTATTGACTTATCCGAGGACTTATCTAACAGCATCTGTTGAAAGTTCCGAAATGATAATGAACTCTTTGAAATTATGTGAAATATTATTTCTATACAGGGTGTTTCAGAGTTGTGTCGACAAAAGCCTTGACAGAAGCCTCTAGCAATAATAAAAAACCCATAATTCTTTCAGCTTGGACACCCTGTATCTCGGAAACGAAGCATTTTCGGACCCATTTCCATATGAACTTGATTTCATAATTTGTTGAGAGAAATCTCCCCTAGGCTTTTGCCACCACAGCTCTGTATATCCTGAGATATTAGGTTTCTTGGATTATACAATAGCCAAAGATTTTTCCCGACCGGCTCCGCCCAAACGTTCACAGACATCCTACAGCTTGCTTGGTCTTCCGGAAACTTCCCAAACATCCTCGAACCTCCAAAACTACCTGAACATCACGAAATGTTTCAGACTCCGCCGAACTTCCCATACTTCCCCAAATCACCCAAACTTCCTCGTACTTCCCAAAACTTCCTCGAACTTCCCAAACTTCCCAAAACTTCCTCGAACTTCCCCAAACTTCCTCGAACTTCCCAAAACTTCCTCGAACTTCCCAAACTTCCTCGAACTTCCCCAAACTTCCTCGAACTTCCCCAAACTTCCTCGAACTTCCCAAAACTTCCTCGAACTTCCCAAACTTCCTCGAACTTCCCTAAACTTCCTCGAACTTCCCCAAACTTCCTTGAACTTCCCAAAACTTCCTCAAACTTCCCAAACTTCCTCGAACTTCCCAAACTTCCTCGAACTACCCAAACTTCCTCGAACTTCCCAAACTTCCTCGAACTTCCTAAACTTCCCAAAACTGTTCAAACTTCACAAACCAGGTAAGCAATTTAGTATTGATTGATTCAACTTTTTTTCCTTTCCCTATGGTAGGTAGGTATAGGTAGGTTCAGTTAGATGCAAAGTAAAATATCGCGGTTGGATGGTGTTAGCGCTCTTATTGCAGAGGTGACTAGATAGGTGCCATCACCGCCATAGTGCGACATGTTCATTGCATCTGACTGTACGTATATGTATAGGCAGAGGTATAGGTGAGTATACCTTAACTTAAAAGTACTTTACTGGAAGGAATTTTAAACTGAATGTCATGAAAATCTGCATTGTAATACAATACAAAATGAAATTAGACTTACAACTTTGAATAATCCACCAACAGAAATCAACCTTCAAACCAATTACCGATCTAATTACCTATTCAATGCAATTTTTCAGTACCATGAATTTTCAGGTAGGTAGGTATTATTGAGTTATCTAACATCATCTCTATTATTTGCCGAAATGAAAAAATCGAGAAATGAATATCCGACTAAACATTGCTTTCTGTTCTCAAAACTACCTAAACATCACGAAATGTTTCAAACTCTACCAAACTACCTCGAATATCCCAAACTTCCTCGAAATTCCTCAAATTTCTCCGAACATCCCAAACTTCCTCGAACTTCCTCAAACTTCCTCGAACTTCCCAAACTTCCTCGAACTTCCCCAAACTTCCTCGAACTTCCTCGAACTTCCTCGAACTTCCCCAAACTTCCTCGAACTTCCTTGTGTCTGTACACTAAACTTCCCACGTGATTTACCCCTCGGTGCAGAATGATTTGTTGAGAGGTGGATTAAAAATTGTCGACCAAGAATTTTGGAATTTTTTTGGTAGCGAAAATGTTACTGCCGAGGAAACATGACATTGGTGGTGCTTTTCTCTAAGTGGATAATTTTTTTTATCGCTTGGAGCGCACGAAAGGAAATCCCTATAATGTTCAAAGAACGTCTTGCGTTCCTAGGGAGGATAGGGACAGGAGGTAGGTATTGGAATTTTTTTGAACTTCTGGAGATTATATGTTGTTGGGAATACTTCCTCAGGCAATTAATTCCAGAGCCTAGCCGTTCTATAGATGGAGGAGTTTTGATAAAGTGCTGTTCGATATCTTTCGCGGTTGACGAAAGGATGTGCTGACTGGGCTTGTCTAGTTCGTCTGACTGGTATTGCTATTGAAGGGATGATAGCAGAGATTTCCGAAGAACATTTCCCCTGGAAGAATCGATAGAAAAGTGAAAGGTCGTCGACCTTTCTACGGTGTTCTAATGATGTCATGAGTGAGTGTGGCGGCACCCACCAGGCGAATGACTCTTCTCTGGATG